GGGGTGGGAATAGAAGTTCACTCTATTGGATGGGAGGAATTGGGGGAGGGGATAGGAATGGGAAAGACAGTGGAATGAATCTGACATAACTTTCCTATGTTCATGTATGAATACACGATCAATGTAACTCCCCATCATGTACAACCACAAGAATGGGAAGTTATACTCCATGTATGTGTGATATGTCAAAATACATTCTAATGTCATGTATAACTACAAAGAACAAATTAAATAAATACAAAAATAAATTCTGCAGAGAAAAGCTGAGGTCCAGACGCCTTCACAGGTAAGTACTATCAAACATTTAAATAAGGAATAATACTGATTTTTAAGACAGTCCTCCAAAAAAATAGAAGCAAAAGGAAATCTTCCCAACTCATTCAGTGAGGCTAGTGTTACCCTGGTGTCAGAAAAAAGACCTCACGAGAAAACTACAGACCAGTAAGTATTTCTTATGTGTGTATATGGAATCAAGAAACATTCAGTGTGTGTACAGGATGATACACTGTGACCAGGTGAAGTTTATGTGATTAATGCAAGAAGTCTTATATAACATCTGGAAATTAGTTAATATAATATCAGTAGAACAAAAGACAAGAACCACATGATCCTTTCAGAAGAAGGAGCATATGGCAAAATCCAACACACTTTCATTATAAAAACTTTTACTCAAGAAACTAGGAATAGAAGGATATATTCTTTCATAAACCTGATAAAGAATATATTTGAAAAACCCACTGCTAGCATTATACTTAATGATGAAAGACAGAAAAATTTCCCCCTAATATCAGGAGCAAGACAAGGATATTTGCTCTTGCCACCTCTGTTTAGCATTTCCCTGGAGGTTCTATTCAATATTTCCCTGGAGCCAGCGAAACTATCTCTGTTTGCAGATGACACATTCATGTTCGTAGACAATCCTAGAGAATTCACTAAATGTCCATTAGAACTAAGGTTCTGCAAATTTGCATGATACAAAATCAATATAAGAAAATCTATTTGAAGTTAAAATTAAAAAAAAAAAACACCAGGGCTGGGGATGTGGCTCAAGCGGTAGCACGCTCGCCTGGCATGCGTGCGGCCCGGGTTCGATCCTCAGCACCACATACAAAGAAAGATGTTGTGTCCGCCAAAAACTAAAAAATTAATATTAAAAAATTCTCTCTCTCTCTCTCTCTCTCTCTCTCTCTCTCTCTCTCTCTCTCTCTCCTCTTTCTTTAAAAAAACAATTCCATGCTAGGCCCAGTGGTACATGACTATAATCCCAGCATCTTGGGAGGCTGAGGCAGAAGGATTGCAGGTTCAAAGCCAGCCTCAGTAGAATAGAAATGAGAATCTAGAAATAAACTCACGCGTTCACGGCCGATTGATTTTTAACAGTGTTGCCAAGAATTATTGGATCACATGGTACCTCTATATTTATTTAGTACTGCCAAACTGTTTGGCAAAGCAGCTGTACCATTTTCTCAACCCACCAGTAATGCATAAAATTTTCAACCTCTTGACATTCTTGCCAATAGTTATTATCAGTCTTTTATTCTAACCGTCTTTGTGGGTGTGAAATGGAATCTTGTTGTGGTTTTGATTTGCATTTCCCTGATGGCAAATGACATTGAGCACCTTTTTGTGTGCTTATTGCTTCACTCATTTTAAATGTGGGTTATCTTTATTACTGAGTTGTAAGAGTTCTTTATATGTTCTGGATACCAGACCCTGATAGCAATATGATTTGTAAATATTTTCTACCATGCTGTGGATTGACTGTTCACTTTCACGATGTCTACAGTTCACAAGATTTTAATTTTGCCGAATGTAATTTTTTCTTTGGCTGTTTGTGCTTTAGGAATCATATCCAAAGAAATGTCTAATTCAAAGTCACAAATTCTTTTTCCTGAGAGATTTGTAGTTGTAGCTCTTACATTTAGATTTTGATATATTTTAATTTTTGTATATAATGTGAGGCAAGTTAGAACTTTATTATTTTGCACATGAATATCCAGTTATTTCAGCACCATTTGTTGAAAAGGCTATTCTTTCCTTACTGAATTGTTCTTCCCAACAGTGTATGAATTTATTTCTAGATCCTCATTTCTATTCCACTGTTCTATACCTATCCCTACACCGTACCACACAGTCTTAATTACTGTAGCTCTGCAGAAAGTTTTAAATTCAGGGAATGTAACATCTCGAAATTTATTCTTCCCTTTAATTGCTTTGATTATTCTGGGTCCCTTGCATTTCCATATGAATTTCAGGATCAGCTTATGGATTTCTTTGAAGAATCCAGATGTGCTTTTGATTGGGAATGTATTAAATCTGCAAGTCCATCTGAAGGATATTCCATCTTTAGAATATTAAGTCTTTCCATCCATGAACATGAACTATTTTTTTATTTATTTAGGTTTTCTTTTTTAAGTGTTTATTTAGTTGTAGATGAACACACACAGTATCTTTATTTTTATGTGGTGCTGAGGATCGAACTCAGTGCCTCACACATGTGAGGCAAGCGCTTGACCACTGACCTACAGCTCTAACCCCTAGGTTTTCTTTAATTAATTCAATGTTCTGTAGTTCTCAGTGTACAAATTTTACACTTTTTTGCTAAGTTATTTCGAAATGTTTTATTCATATTGATGCTATTATAAATGGAATTGTTTCCTTTGTCTTTTCTTTTTTTTGGGAGGGTGGCAGCTACCAGGGATTAGGGACGCTTAACTATTTTTATTTTGAGACAGGGTCTCACTAAGTTGTTTAGGCCCTCCCACTCTTAATTCTGTCTGCCCAGGAGATATGGAAACATATGTCCATGCAAAATCTTATACATAGATGTTCAGAAAACAGTATTCATAATAGCCAAAAGTGGAGGAAACCTACTATCACCTGATAGATGGATAAATGAAATGTTGTATGTCTATACAGTAGAATATTATTCAATCATAAAAAGAAAGCACTGATAAATGCTACAACATGGGTGAACCTTAAAAATATGCTAAGCAAAAGAAGCAAGTCACAAAATGAAAAATGTTCTAAAATTGATTGTGATGTTCGGTATATCAACTCTGTAAATATGCCAAAGAACATTGAATCTTATGTTTTAAATGAGTGAATTGTATGACACGTGAATTATATCTTAATAAAACTTTTTTGCAGGCATGTCTATAAAGCATCTACCAGTTTACATCGTACAGGAATGTTTACTCCACATTGGCAAGGATCTTTATTTTGTATTCCCAGTGGCTTGTTCCCAATCATTGTTCAGTGATTGGCATAGATTAAGCACTCAATTAATGTTTGTTGAATGATTTTGATGTTAATAAATACAAAACCTGACTTTCAAAGAAACTAAACAGTAAGGAGAACACCAAAAATTACTCCATGCTTTTGAGAGACTAAAAAATCAGAGGAAACAGCTAGTTTGAAGTGATGGAGCTGGTTTTAGGAGACTAATCTGTGGGATGGAGAGACCTAAAAGAATAATGTTAGCTGAGTTCAAGGGACAAGTTGGGCTGGATTTAGTGGTAAAGGAGTTGTCTTACATAGATAAGAAAATTGAAACCACATGAGTAATGAGACCAGGGATATGGAGAAAATATAGAAAAAGAATGCTGAGACTCTCTTTATTTCATGTATAAATGAAGATGCTAAAATTTGTAAGGTTGAATAGAATTAGCATGCTGTGTCAGTTATAGGGAGTGCTAATGATTCCCAGAGAAGCCAAAGAAGATAGGCACTCTAAAGAGACCACTAGCTGTAATAAGTAGAGTTCAGGACAATGGTAGGAACTATCTGTAAGGGGATATGGAACAAATAATAATGACAAGTGGAAGCACTAAACATAGATCTCTCTTTCAACAAGTTTGGTGGTAAGAAGAGTGTTGGGTTTTCTCTTTTCAATGGATTACTTTGGTCTTCTGGCTGTTTCCCTTTTCTTATATCAACACACGTTATATTTTATTATAATTATAAGTTGTTTATATTATCTAATAGTCTTTATAAGAATAGTAACCATGCAAGGGTAATCCCATATCCCCATGCCTAATGTATAAATAGTATTTGGGTTGAATGAAATGAATTTTTCTAATAGGCTGGCAAAGACATGACTAGAATGACTCACTAGACCATGCAGATTGGATAAGAAACAAGGGAAGCCAGAACGAGCTTAGTGGATTAATAAAATAGGGAAGGGGTCAATAAATCAAAGCAGTTAAATATTGTGTGGTCAATTGAAGCAGGCAATATCCAATAATATTTCTTGTTCTTTTTGATCTTTAATCTCTGAGTAGAGATGACATATTAAGTAATAAGCTGGTTTTGTTCTGGAATGAAAAACCTCTTCTTTAACTTCAAGTTACCTTAATTTTATAGGTGGTTAGCTATATGATGGGCTTTCTTCCACTGGGTTTTATGATGGATGAACTAATAGTGAGTCCCAGCTCTGTCAATCAATAACTAACCTATGTGGAAGAGAAAGTTTATTAGATAGATGATCTTTAAGATTCTTTCCAGGTCTCACATTCTATGATATTATTTCCAATAATTGACTTAAGACTGAGACTTCAAGAATTTGAATATAGAGCAATAAAGTGGGGGGGAAACACCTCTGCTGTATATACAAATATGATTTATAGAACTAACAGGGTTTTGTTTGTTTGTTTCAGTATTCAGGATGGGACCCAAAGGCGCTATACCATTGAGCCTACACCCCTAGCCTTTCTAAAATTTTAATTTTGAGATAGGATCTTGCTAAGTTGCTGAGGCTGGCCTCAAGCTTGCGATCCTCCTTCCTCAGCCTCCTAAATAGCTTGGATTACAGGCATGTACCACCATGCCCAGCTAGAACTACTGGTTCTTAACTCTGATAAGAGAAAATGAAGGTAGTTCACTGTATTATTGAATTTAGACTACATATCAAGGATGTCTTGAATAACATCTTAGTTACATTACAAAATATTCTTTTACCTACCTGAACAGGAATTAAGATCTGACATTTTTCTTACCAGGACCGTAAGAGGCAATATGAACTGCTCAAACTTGAAAGAAATTTCCAGAAACAGTCCAATGTGCTCAGACGTAAAACTGAGGAGGTAAGTAAGAAAATCCAGTCTGCTGGGTAAAATGTACTGTAGTCCTCAAGCTTAGATGCTGGCAAAATAATATCCTTAAAAAGAGCCAATGTCCTAAGAAACCAGGGTCATTAATCTTGACCAGTAATTCCTAAATCTTGATCTCTTTTTAATGTTATAAACTGAGCAGATTAAACTCTGATGGAAAATGCTACTATGCAAATAAGGATTTTTTTTCCAATTGGGCCTCTTTCCAAAAAACACAGTAATATTGATATATGACATTTCCAGTCTGCATAACTGCCTTGAAATATTTTCCTCCCCTGTGCACTAACAGAGTAGCTATTTATCAATTTTATATCCATGGAGATTTATAAACCTGGTACCTATAGGAATTCAAACCTAGAACTTTTTTTCTTTACCAATATACTGAATATATGCTGGAAAATGTTCTTATTACCCTTCATTCAGCATAACTATGTGCCATTTTTATTTAGGCAGCAGCTGCCAACAAGCGTCTTAAGGATGCTCTCCAAAAGCAGCGAGAGGTCGCAGATAAGCGGAAAGAGACTCAGAGCCGTGGAATGGAAGGTGTTGCAGCTCGAGTGAAGGTATGGACAGTTTGAACTACCATTTCTCATGTATACTGGGGATAAGAAAAAGTGGGAACAGGTTTTCTTTGGATTTAGAAATAAATAGTATCAAATTTGAAGTTCTACCTGAATGCCTTATTGCCTAAAACATGAATATCTTCAAACTGTTAAGGACCAAGAGTATAGAACCCTTTCTATCCTTGCCCATATTGAGATTCAGTTATTTTTTTAACAATTTATTGAGGCATGCTTGATATTCAATAAATTGTACATATTTAAAATGTACAAATTGGTGAGTTTTGATGCATGTCTGCACCTGGGAAATCATTACCATAATCAAGTTAGTGACAATGTCCACTATCGTCCCAAATTTTCTTTCTTTCCATCCCTGGCACACCCCACTCCCCAGTCCAGGCAATGTTTTCCTGGAATCCCCAATTAATCTGATTCTGTCGTTATAGATTTGTTTTTATTTTTTACAATTTTGTAAAAATGAGACAATACATTATGCATTTTTCTGGCTTTTATTCAGCATTATTCAGAGTCATCTATGAAATTACATGTATCATTGTTACTTTTATTATTGAGTGGTATCCTATTCATTTTATGTATACACCATAATTTGTTCATCTATTCACTTGTTGATGGATATTTGTTTTCAGTTTGGGGCTATTAGAAATATTAGCATTTATGTACAAGTCTTCATGTGGACATGTGTGCTTTTTTTTTAATTGGGTGTTCAAAACATTACAAAGCTCTTGACATATCATATTTCATACATTAGATTCAAGTTGGTTATGAACTCCCAATTTTACCCCAAATACAGATTGCAGAATCACATCGGTTAGGACTAGTATTGCTTTCTGATATGGTGAGTGTATGTTTTAGTTTTTTTTAACTTTATTTTATTTATTTATTTTTATGTGGTGCTAAGGATCAAACCCAGGGCCTTGCACATGTGAGACGAGCGCCCTACCGATGAGCCATAACCCCAGCCCCTGTTTTAGTTTTAAGTAACTGCCAAATTGTTTTAGTTTTTAAGCAACCGCCAAATTGTTGTATCATTTTACATTCCTTCTACCAATGTATGAGGGTTCTAATTGCTCACATTCTCACCAATACTTAATATAGTCAGTCATTTATTTATTTATTTTTGGTACCAGGGATTGATCCACTGAGCCAAGTCTCCAGCCCTTTTTAAAATTGTTTTTATTTGTTTTAATTAGTTATACATGACAGTAGAATGCATTTATGCACGTTGATATATCATACATAGATGGGATATAATCTCTCATTTGTTTGCCTTTTTTTAAATTTTATTTTGAGATAAGGTCTTGCTGAGTTGCTTAAGGCCTTGCTAAATTGCTGAGGTTGGCTTTGAACTTGGGATCTTCCTGCCTCAGGCTCCTGGGCCGCTGGGATTACAGGCATGTGCCACTGTGCCCAGCTTCACGTTGTACATTTAAATTTTTGACCTGTCTGTAGTTTGTTTTGGCAGAGTGGATGCAATGGAGGACAGGGATGGACTTTTCTGTTTTCTTAGTCTGTGATATTCTGGGTCTCTGAAGTGATTGTTCTGGTGGTGGTCTGAGTCTGGGTGGCAGGCACTGTTTCCTCGGATACAAACTGGACTGTGCCAGGGGCCATTCCCACCGTGCTGGTCAGCTGGCAGCTGCTCTGCTTGTGAGCTACAAAGGCATCTAGGTTGTTAAACTGCTGCTTGCAGATACCGCAGATGTGGATGTCTGGAGTCAGTTCAACCAGCACGATTGTGCTGCCTGGAATTTGCACGGAGCCCAGAAAGCTCTTGCCCTCACCGCTCGCATTCATGGCCGCAGACTGGGAGGTCCCCGGCTGGCTGCAGTGCCAGGGCAGGGGGGAGGGGGGGCGCTGCTCTACATGGTGCAAGGACTTTTCCTTTTATTTTTTCCACACCCCCCAACCTTCCTTCTCCCAACTCTGAGAGGCCGGGAGGACACATGATAATTTCTCATTTTTCTGAGTATACATGTTTCAGAATCATATTGGTCATGTAGTCACATATATACATACAGTAATAATGTCTGTTTCATTCTACTATCTTTCCTATCTCCACATCCCCTCCCCACCCCTCCCATCACTTCCCTCTACCTAATCTAAGGTAACACTATTCTTCCCTAGTGCCCCCTGCTTTATTGTGAATTAGCAGCCACATATTAGAGAAAATATTCAGCCTTTGGTTTTGTGATATTGGCTTATTTCACTTAGCATGATATTCTCCAACTCCAACCATTTACTGGCAAATGCCATAATTTTACTCTTCTTTAAAGCTGAGTAATATTCCATTGAGTATATATACCACATTTTCTTTATCCATTCATCTATTAAAGGACACCTAGGTTGGTTCCATAGTGTAGCTATTGTGAATTGAGCTGCTATAAACATTGATGTGGCTGTGTCACTATAGTATGCTGATTTTAAGTCCTTTGGGTATAAACCAAGGAGTGAGATAGCTGGGTCAAATGGTGGCTCAATTCCCAATTTTCTGAGGAATCTCCATACTGCTTTCCAACATTTTGCAGTATGAGTGTACTTTTTTCACCACATCCTCGCCAACATTTATTGTGGCCTGTATTCTTGATGATTGCCATTCTGATAGGAGTGAGATGAAAGTAGTTTTGATTTGCGTTTCTCTAATTGCTAGAGATGTTGAGCACTTTTTCATATATTTGTTGATCAATTGTATTTCTTCTTCTGTGAAGTGTCTGTTCAGTTCCTTAGCCCGTTTATTGATTGGGTTATTTGTTTCTTTGGTGTTAAGTTTTTTGAGTTATTTAAATATCCTAAAGATTAATGCTTTATTGGAGGTGCATGTGGTAAAGATTTTCTCCTAATCTGTAGGCTCTCTCCTCACATTATTAATTGTTTCCTTTGCTGAGAAGAAACTTTAATTTGAATCCATCCCAATTATTCATTCTTGATTTTACTTCTTGCGCTTTAGGAGTCTTGCTAAGGAAGCAGATCCTAGGCTGAGGTGGTGAAGATTTGGTCCTGTTTTTTTCTTCTATAGGCACAGGGTGTCTGTTCCAGTGCCTAAGTCTTTGATCCACTTTGAGTTGATTTTTGTGCAGGATGAGAGAGAGAGGTTTAATTTCATTGTGTTACATATGGATTTCCAGTTTTGCCAGCACCATTTGCTGAATAGGCTATCTTTTCTCCAGTGAATGTTTTTGGCACACTTGTCTAGTATGAGATAACCATATTTATGGGTTTGTCTCTGTGTTCTCTATTCTGTACCATTGGTCTACAAGTCTATTTTGGTGCCAATACCATGCCATTTTTTGTTACCATAGCTCTATAGTATAGTTTAAAGTCTGGTATTGTGATGCCTCCTGCTTCACTTTTCTTGCTAAGGATTGCTTTAGCTATTCTGGGTCTCTTATTTTTCCAAATCAATTTCATGATTGCTTTTTCTATTTCGATGAAGAATGACATTGGTATTTTAATAGGAATTGCATTAAATCTGTATAATACTTTTGGTAGTATGCCCATTTTGACAATATTAATTCTACCTATCTAGGAGCATGGGCACTCTTTCCATCTTCTGAGGTTTTTTTCAATTTCTTTCTTTAGTGTTCTGTAGTTTTCATTGTAGAGATCTTTTACCTCTTTTGTTAGATTGATTCCCAGATGTTTTTGTTTTATTTTTTTTGGGGGGTGGTTTGAAGTTATTTTGAATGGAGTAGTTTTCCTAATTTCTCTTTCAGTGGATTCATCACTGATGTATAGGAACGTGTTTGATTTATGGGTGTTGATTTTATATCTTGCTACTTTGCTGAATTCATTTATTAGTTCTAGAAGTTTTCCGGTCGAATTTTTTGGATCTTCTAGATATAGAATCATGTCACCAGCAAATAGTAATAGTTTGAGTTCTTCTTTACCTATCCCTTTAATTTCTTTCTTTTATCTAATTGCTATGGCTACAGTTTCAAGGATGATGTTGAATAGAAGTGGTAAAAGAGGACATCTTTGTTTTGTTCCAGTTTTTAACGGGAATGCTTTCAATTTTTCTCTATTTAGAATGATGCTGCCCTTGGGCTTAGCATATATAGCTTTTACAATGTTGAGGTATGTTCCTACTATCCCTAGTTTTTTTTAGTGTTTTGAACATAAAGGTGTGCTGTATTTTTTTCAAATGCTTTTTCTCCATCTATTGAGATGATCATATATGATTCTTGTTTTTAAGTCTATTAATATGATGAATTGCATGTATTGATTTCCATATGTTGAACCAACCCTGCATCCCTGGGATGAATCCCACTTGATTGTGGTGCACTATCTTTTAATATGTTTTTGTATGCAATTTACCAGAATTTTATTGAGAAGTTTTGCATCTATGTTCATCAGGGATATTGGTCTGAAGTTTTGTTTTGTTTTTTTTTCTTGATGTATCTTTGTCTGGTTTTGGTATCAGGGTGATATTAACCTCATAGAATGAGTTTGGAAGGGTTCCCTCCTTTTCTATTTCATGGAATACTTTGAGGAGTATTGGTTAATTCTTCTTTGTAAGTCTTGTAGAACTTGGCTGAGAATTCATCTGGTCCTGGGTTTTTCTTTGTTGGTAGGCTTTTGATGGTATTTTCTATTCCATTATTTAAAATTGATCTGTTTAAAGCATGTATGACCTCCTCATTCAATTTGGGTAGGTCATATGCCGCAGTCTGGCTGGGCACAAAATCACGAGCCACCACACAGCTTGTAGATTCAAACAGCAACTCTTTATTCCCGAACTCACACCAGCCGTCTACAATCACGTTCTGGGGAAATCCACGTTCTCTTGCCCAAATCCACCCCCACTGGGCTTCTGTCTCCCAAAAAAATACTGTCTGAATCCTGTGAGAACTCAAGGGGAACTCAGGCAGCAGGATACGCCCTATTCCCAGCAGGAATAACCTTAAACCTGGAACCACCCTAAACCCGGATTGTCCTAAACCGGGAACACCCTAAACCCGGATTATCCTAAACCGGGAACACCCTAA